TGGTATTAATACTTCACGTGATCTTGATTCTATCCCTCTGTTAATGCAGCCTAGCACTGTGTTGGCCTTTTTGGCAGCTGCAGCACACTGCTGGCTCATATTTAAGTGAGTGTCTACTAGGACTCCGAGGTCCCTCTCACAGTTACTACTATTGAGCATGGTGCCACCTATGCTATACTTGTGCATTTGGTTTTTCTTGCCTAAATATAGAACCTTGCTTTTTTCACCATTGAATTTCATTTTGTTAGTTAGTGCCCAGTGTTCAAGTCTGTCCAGATCCTTCTGTATCTGAAGCCTGTCTTCTGGAGTGTTGGCTATTCCTGCCAGCTTGGTGTCATCTGCAAATTTGATGAGTTCCCCATCTATCACTTCATCCAAATCGGTGATGAAGATGTTGAAGAGTACTGGGCCCAGAACAGAGCCCTGGGGCACCCCACTACACACTTCCCTCCATGAGATGCAGTTCCATTGAGGACCACTCGCTGAGTACGGCCAGTCAGCCAGCTATGGATCCATCTGGTGGTGATGCTGTCTACCCCACATTTTTTCTATCTTGTCAAGTATTAGGTTGTGATCTACTTTATCAAATGCCTTACTGAAGTCCAAGTAAATTATGTCCACAGCATTCCTCTGATCCACTAATTTTGTCACTTGGTCAAAGAATGCAATAAGATTTGTCTGGCATGATCTATTTTTGACAAACCCATGTTGGCTTTTATTAATGACTTTGTTTGACTCTAGGTGTTCGTTGATTCGTTGTTTGATTATCTTTTCCAGGATCTTCCCAGGTATTGAGGTCAGGCTGATAGGTCTTTAATTTCCTGGATCCATTTTTTTTCCTTTTTTGAGGATGGGAACTACATCAGCTCTTTTCCAGTCCTCTGGTAGTTCCCCTGTGCTCCAGGATCTTTGAAAAATATAGTTGAGTGGCTCCGATATCACATCTGCCAGTTCCTTGAGAACTCGGGGTGTAATGCCGGTCTGGTAATGGCGATTTGAAAATCATCTAGGTGGACAGGTGCTCACTAACGGCTTTTCTTGCCCTATCTTAACGTGTGTTTCTGTTTTTGTTTTTGTGGCACTTATTTTTGATAGGTTGGTCTGTTTTTCCTTTGTGTAAAGACAGATGCAAAAAATGAGTTAAATAGTTCTACTTTCTCCCTGTTGCTTGTCACCTTCTTGCCACTTCCACCACTAATGGACCAATCATTTCCTTCACTTTTTTCTTGTTTTTTACATGTTGAAAGAAGCTTTTTTTGTTATTTTTGACTTTGGTCGCAAGCCTTAGTTCATTATGAGCCTTGGCTTTCTTCACTTCATCTTTGCAGGCTCGGGCTATTTGCTGATATTCTGACTTAGTTATGTTCCCCTCTTTCCACTTTCTATACTTGTCCTTTTTATCTTTCAATTTGTCAGAGAGTTCTTTATGAAGCCATGCTGGTTTCTTTTGAGAGCTGTTATTTTTCCTCTTTGTTGGTATTGTGCTAGACTGTGCTTTTATTATCTCATTTTTCAAAATTTCCCAAGCTTCTTGAGTTGTTTTCCCCTTGAGGATTCTCATCCATGGAATCCTTCCCAAGCCCTCTCTAAGTTTATTGAACTTAGCTCTCTTGAAGTCCAAGACTCTAGTTTGACTGTGTTCTATTGGTTGTGCTTCTATAATGTTGAATTCTAATATTGCATGATCACGTCCTCCCAGGGTTCCTATGGCTCCAACACCGTCTATCATTTCATCTCTGTTAGTGAGAATTAGATCCAAAATGGCTAATCCCCTAGTTCCATTCTCTACTTTTGGGGAGACAAAGTTGTCTGCTAGGTTTGCCAGGAACCTGTTTGATCTTCCACTTGGTGCGGAGTTTGTCTCCCAGTTGATGTCAGGGTAGTTAAAGTCCCCCATTACTATTGTGATGTGCTTACTACATACCTTAGTTAGCTGACTAGCAAAAAGTTCATCTATTTCCTCTGTTTGGTTGGGTGGTCTGTAGTATACACCTATGGCAATGTCATTTCCCCCCCCTTTTATATTGACCCAAATGCATTCAAGACAGTTTTTCTCATTGTTGTACTCTATTTCTGTGAAGATGTAGTTATTTCTTATATAGAGAGCAACTCCACCTCCTCTTTTATTTGGTCTGTTTCTTTTAAATAATTTAAATCCATCTAGCTGTGTGTTCCATGTGTGAGTTTCATCCCACCATGTTTCCGTAATGGCAACAATATCGTATCTGCCCTCATTAACCTGAATTTCTAGTTCACCCTGTTCGCTGTTCATACTTTGTGCATTGGTGTATAAACATTTGAGTCCTTTGTGGGTGGCCCTGTGTTTCCTTTCTACATAACCTGTGTGGTGCCTGAGTTCCCCTATTGTCTTACCACCTATTTGGTTAGTGCACTTTATATGGCACTCGCTATTAGAGGCTTCATTTTGATTGGTAGCAAGGTTGGTATTCTTGTCCACACACACATCTGTGCTACATGGACTGATAGCCCTATAGTTTTTAAATTGCCGGGGACAGGGTTGTTCCGTATCAATTAACTCCCTGTCCCCGCTGTTTAGTTTAAATTTCCCTCCAGAAAATCTGTGAATTTATAGCCGAGTAACTCAGTCCCTTTTTTGATGGATGCAAACCATCTCTTTTGTACATCTTTTGATTGGACCAGCTACTGACATCGTGACTAATATATCCAAAGCCTTCCCCTTTACACCATTCCTTTAGCCACATATTGAATTGTGCTATGCGCTGGCCTTTTCCGTTTTGCTCCTTATACACTGGTAAAACCTCTGAGAAAGTAAGCCTACAACACTGTTCCAGTCCTGGTTTTTTAATCACTGAAACATCTTCAGCAGTAGGCAATTTAGGGCAGACAGGTAGCAGAGGTGCGTAACTGATTCCTGGTTTTGTCAATCTTGCCTTTGCCACTTGAATTTTTGGGTCCCCTAATAGGATGGCAGAGAACATCTTTAATTCAGGACACAAAATCCATTTCGGCTAATCTGATTCCAGCAGAATCTTAAGGAGAACTTCCTAAAGTTAAGAACTCTTTGCTAGTGGAACCAGTGAGATGAAGAAGTGATGAACTTCCTCTTTGCTGGATTTTATGTTTTTATTTTTTTTTAGAAACCAGAGAGAATCTTTCAGGTCTAAATTAATTTAGATTCTTGTGCTAAGCAACAATTCCGACTCTAATTTTATGACTCTGCACAGCTAGTCTTCGACTTAGGATCAGAAGTCAGCCTGAAATTTTTGTTGCTAAGCAAGACAGTTGTTAAGTGAATTTTAAATGAGGAGCACGTCTTCTGAAGTTGAGCCTTTTATTCTGGTTTAAGGAAATGGCTATGCAGCCATTTGGTAACTTGTTTTCCTGAAGAATTTATGCTTCAGAAAAATAATGAATGTCTTTGCTCACTTCCCATTTTCTTAAATTAATATGTCTGTCTGTCCATCTGTCTGTCTGTGTCTGTCTATGTGTCTGTGTGTCTGTGTGTCTATCTGTCTATCTATATATCTATCTATCTTGTAGATGAGTTAAATCATTGGGTTTTGTCTGTGTGTAGTAATTCAAGAGAGATGATCTGTGGGGTCCTTGGTGCTCTCTGAAGCTGGTTGTTTCCTTGCAGACATTTCATTACCCAACAAGGCAACATCTTCAATTATATGAAGGAATTCATATCATATGGTAGGAATTCAACTATCAAAAAATCTAAACCTATGTCCTTCCTGTAACTAGGGCCTCGAAGTGAGTTATCTCAACTCATCATTCTTCTAAGATTCTGCTGGAATCAGATTAGCCGAAATGGATTTTGTGTCCTGAATTTCAGATGTTCTCTGCCATCCTATTAGGGGACCCAAAAATTCAAGTGGCAAAGGCAAGATTGACAAAACCAGGAATCAGTTACGCACCTCTGCTACCTGTCTGCCCTAAATTGCCTACTGCTGAAGATGTTTCAGTGATTAAAAAACCAGGACTGGAACAGTGTTAACCACATTAGCCTGTAATGTGTACTTAGCCCTTCCCACCATTCAACTTCTAAAAGTCCTCCAGTCCTTTGATTATTTTAGTTGTGTTTTTTTAATAGGTCAGATTAACATATGGCATTCTGGTAAACAGAATGTGTGTGTGTGTGTGTTTGTGTGGCATTTGTGTGATAGGAGTAGCTTATTTAAGAAGCATCTGTAATCAAACAAGGAGAGAACGAATAAAAAAATGAATGGGTTCTGAATTACTTTGGACTGGATACAAAAATGACCAGTTCAAAGATAGTTACGTTGTTGCATATGAGAGAATATGAGAGAATATTCAATCTAATTTTAATATAGAGAGAATAAATGAGGATCGGATTTTGAAAAACAACATGAAGGAAAAAAGAAAAGGGGAAAGATTGATTAAATCTGGTTGGATGGATTTATTGAGACGCTCAAAAAGAGGTAGAATAGAGAAGTTTAGAAAACAGAAAAAAAATAATGTAGGACTCAATATATGGTTATGCTGGAACTGTGTTAAATAGAGAAAAATATAGAGATTTCTAGTGAATGATGCTAGTAAAAACCAGATATAGTTAAATTTATTTTCCTTTACTCTTATTTCATTCTTTAATATCTATGACTGATTATTTCTTAGCCCCTTTCTGCTTTTCCCCCCCTAATACGCACACTCCTAAAAGGAATAGTGTAATCGGTAAGTATGCATGTTGAATTTTTTTAGATCTCCTTTTTAACAATGAGGCAAGGATGGGAGCTCACCCCATCATTTGGCATTGGGGTCTCAGGTCTCAAATCTTTTTAGCATCTTAATCGCTCCAAGCCCAAGAAGTTAAGCACTGATGCCTCAATTTATGGTGGAGGGAGATACTATAAAGCTTTCCTTCCACAACAATTAAAAACACATGCACACACCAACATCAGATACATGCCAGAATGTCTGTTCCATAGACATAATATTTCAAGTACTGCAAACACGTAGCTCTTCTATTAGAAAGTAGAAGGTATCACCTGCTTGGACCATGGTTGCTTTATTAAAACGCACAGATGGAAGGGCGGGTGATGACATTACTGTTGAAAGTACCATATGTAGACAAACAGGGAGGCAGGCTTGAGGGTAACTCCAAGTTTGGAGACCAATGGAACGTGGCGATAACCTGAAAGAAAACCAAGAAGACAACAATGCAAGCAGGTCAAACAAAACTTACCATCCACATTGACTTACTGAATTAGTTGGATCAACAGTCTGACTTTAGCAACTTCCTAATGTTCTGTGTTTAACCTCTGGATTGGTAAACCTGTTATTACAGTATCCATGCATCTCACATCAAATAAGAATCCAGCCAGGCAAGATGAACAGAAAATATCTGATGGGTTCCTTGGAGCTCTCTGAGCTCGGTTGTTGCAGACATTTCATTACCCAACTAGGTAACATCATCAGTGCTAGAAGGGACTGGGGTTTGCTCTCTGTTCATATACAGGTGACTTGACCTATCAGCATTGGAATGAATTGCCTATGAATTGCAGAACTTTCAATATATAGTCAGAGGTAACTTTCATTGTAACGTGGGATGGTTTCAGGCATGCCTTTTTTTTCCTGTAAGAAGGAAGAGTGAATTTTTCAAGGAGTTAAATAAATTAACCTTAGAATTTGTGTGGTCAGGTAAGAAGGCAAGAATAAAATTAAAGGCACTACAGGATGCCAAAGAGAGGGGAGGTTTAGGTTTCCCAGATTGGGAGCTATATTACCAAGCAGCGGCCCTGACATGGATTAGAGACTGGATAACCTTAGAAAATAAAAGATGTTTACATTTAAAGGTTACGACCTTCAGCAGGGTTGGGAAGTTCATATATGGACGGGGCAATGCAGAAACCACCAGTATTTTTTAAGACATAAGATTCAGCAAGAATTAATAAAAAGCTGGAATATACTATACAAAGACTCTGGCTTGGCTATCGCCATTAGAGGCAGTCACATATCCCAATCTGTATAGGAAAAACAAGGCTATTACATATAAAGACATTTTGACAGAAGAAGGTTATTTAAAACAAAAACAAGAGCTAAGACAACAAGGAATAGACCTAGAGTGGTGGTCTTATTTCCAGATACAAGCAAGATATATGAAGGATAAGAAAGAATGGGGTATTAATAGACAAGATACGGGGTTAGATAAAATATTGCTAGGCCCAGAGAAAAAACAAATAAAGAATATTTATAAATACTTGTTGGAATATAAGCTATATGAGGAGCAGGTTAAAAAAACAATGGTGACATGGGCAATAGATCTAGGATATAATATAAATATGGATCAATGGCAGCAAGTATGGGAATGAAATAACAAAATCACACTGGTGACATCATATAAAGAAAACCTGTATAAGATGGTTTACCGATGGCATCTCCCTCCGGCCAGATTAGCCAAAATGTATAACAGATACTCACCTATGTGCTGGAAGTGTAAAAAAGAAAAGGGCACATTTTTTCATGTATGGTGGACATGTAGAGAAGCACAGGTGTATTGGCGTATGGTCTGGGAATGGACAATAGAAATGACTAGGCAAAACATTCAATACAAACCTGAGGCATTACTATTAGGAATACTAGGGAAAAATGTAAATAAAGGTGACATATATCTAATCATTCACATAGTTACAGCGGCAAGGATAATATTTACTCAAAAGTGGAAAGCAATGGAAGTACCGAGTGGGGAAGCACTAATAAAGAAAATTATGTATTGTGCAGAACTAGACAGGATAACTAAAAGATTAAAAAATCAGGAAGAAACAGAATTTTATCGAATATGGAATAAATTTTATAGATGGAGGGAAAAAAATGGAGGTCACAGCAAAGATATAAGTCAAGACAGAGACTAGAAATGTACAGTTGTATATAGATGTATTATATGTAATTAATGTACAATATGGACTGATAAGACGGAGATGTCAAAGACGATTTACCATGTTCAATGTTTTTAATCTTTTTTTTTCCTTTATACCCAATAAAAATTAAAAAAAAAGATGGAAGATGCTGATAAGATCCTCAAAAACAAAGAGGTGAGAACTTTATCGAACAAACGCAATGCAAAATCAGTGCATGGAATTAGTTGAATCAAGAATGGTTTGCAAGGATAGAAAGATTTGGAGAAATATGGTCTTGATATAAGCTAGACTTAATTACACAGGTAATCCTTGTTTAGCAACCATAATTGGGACTGGCAACTTGGTCATTAAGAGAAGCAGATGCTAAGTGAAACTGCAATTGTGTTTATAACCTTACTTCGGTTTTCCTCTGCTTTACAGACCTGTGAGTGTGATAAATGTGACTGGTAAATGTTATTTTCTTCTTCACCATTACAAGTGCAAATAGTTGCTATATGAAAAAGTTACTAAATGAGGACTTCCCATATTTCCTCTTCTTTTACTTATTATCTGCTTACTATTTCTTAAGGTTTTTTCCTAAGCTTTTCATAGCATTTCTTAGCCTAAAAGAAAATAGCACGATGGATAAGATATACGTATACAAGGATGGATCAGAATGCCCACAGTCTGTTTAAGCTATTTAAAAACAGTATTTTAAAATCAAACTGCCCTAGGCGCTGATACAGAGGAATTTTTTGAGCCTGTCATTTATACCTCTATAACTGTCTGGTGTGACACAGCAATCAAACAGGACACGTACAGACTTCAATGGATAGTTAGGACTGCAGAAAAAACAACTGCAACCAGCCTGCCTTCTATTGTGGACCTGTATACTGCATGAGCCAGAAAGAGGGCTGTGAAAATATCTACAGACCCCTCACATCCTGGACATAAAGTGTTTCAACTCTTCTCCTTGGGACACTACAATAAGGCCTTGCATGCCAGATTTTTGTTTTCCTCATGCCATCACTCTGTTGAACACCTAATTCCCACAGTACTGTCTTATGTCTAATATAGTAGAACCATATAACTATTATCTTTCTCATCTTTCTTATTACCTTCTATTAATATCTTATGATTTTATTATTTTGTTGTTTGTATGTACACTGAGCACTTATGCACCAGAGACAAATTCCTTGTTTGTGCAGTCACACTTGACCAATAAAGAATTCTATTCTATTCTATTCTAGTCTATTCTAGTCTAGTCTAGTCTAGTCTAGTCTAGTCTAGTCTAGTCTTATGTTACCTGGACTATGGCTTACATGCACACTGTGGCATGTGCAGAAAGACACTTCCTGAGAAAGAACCATGTATTTTTTTACAAAATTTTAACTAATTGTTTCTCTTTGTGCAGTTTCAAAGAGAACAAAGATCAATTTGATATAGATTTTGCAGAAAATCCGTCTCTTTCTATTTACTCTGGCTAACTTCATACAAACACACACAAGTATATATTTTATCATTGATTTTAGGTGCTCTGTTATTGAAAAATAGATGTTTTCCCCTTCCATAATAACAGTTATAGATATTCCCTGACAGCACACCAAGTTTGTCATCTCATTAGAGTCTAAATATTTCATGATGCTTCATGCAGTGTGAAATATAGCTTAATATTTCTTTTGGATATTTTATGATGATGTGTACGCAATATTACACCCAGAAAAAATATTTTGCAAATGGAATGTTATGCTTTTTGCAAGTTTGTAATGACATAAGAAATGAACTAGAGAACACGACTGATTTCCATCACACAAACTTAAATTCATTTAAAACACTTTTAGATAAAATATCTTCTCTTCTCTTAATCTGATTTTTGATTCATTTAAATCCTCCAAACAAGTCAGGGTATTTGTAAAGCAATCAGGATTCGGTCTAATTCACGATTAGGCAGAGGCTTAAATGTGCAAGTTAATAAGTGTGCACTACATTTTTTATAGACATAAGGGTATTTATTTATTATTTATTTATTTGTATCCTACTTTATTATGTTTACAAATAAATCCAGATGGTAAATATACCCAACACACCTTTCTCCTATTTTGCCCACAATTCTATGAGGTAGATTGGACTGAGGGAGGGTGATTGGCCCAAGGTCACCCAGCTGGCTTTCATGGCTCAGGTTGGATTAGAACTCAGAGTCTCCCACTTTCTAGCCTGATGTATTAACCACTAGACCAGTAGTGGCGAACCTATGGCACCGGTGCCAGAGGCGGCACTCAGAGCCCTCTCTGTGGGCACACGCACCATCTCCCCAGCCCCGCCTCCTCCCACAGCCCCTTCCTCACCAGCAGCCCCCCCCGGAGGAGAGTCACCCCTGGGCACGGCCCACGTGAAGCAGCGCAGCCAAGGACATGGTAGCCGGGCAGCGGGGACAAGACTCTGCTCTTGTGCCCCATTATGTGCAGATGATGCTGCAGGGCATGGGCGGAGGGCATGGCCTCTGTGGCGCTGCTGGGCTGTCTGGGTGATCTGTGGTGGGCTGTGGAGGTGGTGGGTGGCCCAGTGGGCAGGGCAGAGCAGGGATGGGGTGGGAGGGCGGTTTTTGGGCACTCGGTCTCTAAAAGGTTCACCATCACTGCACTACATCAAACTGACCGTCAGTATATAACTGAAGTTTTGGTAAAATCAAGAAAGGTCTTCCATAGAGGCAGTGAAGGATAACAAAGGGAGCCTGAGTTTAATCCTGTCCTTTTGTAAAAATATTCAAATCATGCTCACTCCTTTTTACTGGTGACTTATTGTTGTTCTATGCACTGTCAACTTTTATTTTTATTATGGTTAAGGGCCTCAAAGCCTAGCATGAAATATAACTGAGCATTTCAAAGGCTATTTGATTGGGCTGTGTATGTAACGTTAATTTCAAAGTAGTATTTTACAACCTGCATTTGAAAAAGGGAGACAAGATGTTTTCCTGCAGCTCCTGGAGGGATCATTTCTAGATCAGTTGATGGCTGGAAAGTGGAAACTGGTTTGACTTCAGAAGGCTCCACTTTAGAACATTGTTATTGTATATTAAATATGGTCTGACATTTTCCTATTCTCTAAATTAATAATAATAATAAAGTTGAAAGGGACCTTGGAGGTCATCTAGTCCAGCCCCCTGCTCAGGCAGGAAACCCTATACCATTTTGGACAAATGGCTGTCCAGTCTCTTCTTAAAAACTTCCAGTGTTGGAGCATTCACCGCTTCTGGAGGCAGGTTGTTCCACTGGTTAATTGTTTTAACTGTCAGGAAGTTTCTCCTTAGTTCTAGGTTGCTTCTCTCCTTGATTAGTTTCCACCCGTTGCTTCTTGTCCTGCCTTCTGGCGCTTTGGAAAGAGGACTCCCTCTTCTTTGGTGCAGCCCCTGAGATATTGGAACACTGCTATTATGTCCCCCCTTGTCCTTCTCTTCATTAAACTAGACATACCCAATTCCAGCAGCCGTTTCTTATATGTTTTAGCCTCCAGCCCCCTAATCATCTTTGTTGCTCTTCTCTGTACTCTTTCCAGAGTCTCAGCATCTTTCTTACATCGTGGTGACCAAAACTGGATGCAGTATTCCAAGGTTGGCCTTACCAAGGCATTGTAAAGTGGTATTAATACTTCACATGATCTTATTCTATCCCTCTGTTAATGCAGCCTAGCATTGTGTTGGCTTTTTTGGCAGCTGCAGCACACTGCTGGCTCATATTTAAGTGATTGTCCTAGGACTCCGATATCCCTCTTACAGTTACTACTATTGAGCAAGGTACCCCCTATACTATACCTGTACATTTGGTTTTTCTTGCCTAAATTCAGATTATAGTTTTTTTCCTTGATTGTGATATGTATTATATCTTGTCTACTGATGAGCTAAAGGCAGGAATAAGGTTTTCTGGTGCTTATTGTACAGCTCATTCTAGAAGATCAAACACCAGTAGATCTTTAAGTATTATAACAGATACAGGGAACCCAAATAACTAGGTATCAATATGTGATTACTTAAGGGATCAGTAGCTACAATAATCCATTATACTACAATGTGTGTGATTATAAACAAGAACCACAACTGGTGGGGTTCCTTATCAGAACATAGAATCTAGGCTTAGCATCCTTCACAACCTCTTAGCTCTTTAACTGTTTGGCTACTTTGTAAGGCAAAGAACATAGAGTTAGAAAAACGTATGTAGAACACAATCTCAGAACATGAAGTCCCTTACATATGAACAACAATCTGTGGTACAAAAGATTAAAAATAATGTTTTAGGTTAGATTAAGCAAAATATAGCCAATCATCCTTGCTGGAGAACAACTTCCAGCATCCCTTACAAAGTTTGCTCTAGTGCAGGGGTCTTTAAACTCAGCCCTTTTATGACTCATGGATAACTCCCACTATTCCTCAGCCACACATGCTTGGCTGAGGAATTCTGGGAGTTGAAGTCCATGAGTCATAAAAGGGCCGAGTTTGAAGAGCCTTGGTCTAGTACAGTGGTTCTCAACCTGTTGGTCGGGACCCCATTTGGGGTCGAACGACCATTTCACGGGGGTCGCCAAACAACGCAGTCCGCCATTTTCCCCCCCTTTTCCTTAGCTGTGCTACTCCCTTTTATTCTATTGGCTTTTGAAAGCCAATAGAATAGACTCTCTTGAATAGAGTCTAATTCTATTGGCTTTCAAAAGCCAATAGGAATTCTCCAGGCTGTCTCTGCCCTGCTGAGCCCGCCAAAAGTCCCATTCTGCAAACGGTGCTGCACCAGTTGAGTACTCCTCGACTTACGACCGGTTGAGTAGTCCTCAACTTACGACCGGTTGGGGGTTGCGGCATTAAAAAGGTTGAGAACCACTGGTTTAGTAGTTAAGGCACCAAGCTAGAAACTGGGAGAGTGTGAGTTCTAGTCCCTCATTGTTCCTTGTCTGGTCTTTGGTGCTTTGGAAAATAGGTTGTCCCCCTCCTCTCTGTGACAGCCTCTCAAATATTGGAACATTGCTATCATGTCACCCCTGGTCCTTCTCTTCACTAGACTAGCCATGGCCAGTTCTTGCAACCTTTCTTGCAATGGGGACTGAAAGGATTTATATTCCTTGCAGTCATCTGGTCATTAGCACTCTTTCTGAGAGTTGTTGAGGCCACTTGGAGATGTATCTGTGCCCTCATGATCACCTGAATAGTGCAAATGGGTGTGGAACCTTCTTGGAACTGCTGGGAGGACTGTGTTGTAAACAGGGGATAGGTGGTGTCGTATCCCTCCCCCTCTGTTGAGAGAGGGATGTTCAAAATTAATGTAGATGGCCTCTTTGACCCCTCTTTCAAACCAGCAGTCCTTTCTGTCCAGAACGTGAACTCTTCTGCCTTTGCTGAAGAAGCTTCTCGGATGAGAAGCGAAATGTCTTCTAGGAAAAACAAGGAAAGTCCAGTTGCCTCTTGAAAAAGCACCTTTGGGACAACCCTGACCTGGATGACTGAGAATCTTCCTAGACATTAATGGTAGGACTTTTAAATTAAATATTGTGCTGCTCACCTTACATTGTTCCTTGTTTTTTTTTTTCAAGGGCAGGCAACTGCTTGTTCTCTCTCATTAGTCAGAAAATAATGATCTTACCTTTATTCATGCTCAAAAGTGGTAAAGTAAATTGGCCAAGGAAGTCATTGGCAATAACTGCCATCTGATCTTCTACTACAAAGCGTATTAAGGCAAGATCTGGAACTTGGACAGTAAAGGTGAATGTCTCATTCCATCTAGGATTCAAAGCTGAAAAAGCAGGGAAGAAAACTCTGGTTAATAGTTTGAGCCTTAATCATGCGAGCTGCTCTGAGTTTTGAAAACACCAAGGTACCTTTTTTTTTCCTTAGTCCCTATTTCAGAACCTTCATGGTTCTCCAATAGATTTTGGTTAAACCTGACATCCAAAAGAAGAGAGTTAAGTTAAAACTTAAGAGATTTTTAGATATTGGACTTCTGCAGATGTTTACGTGGTCTTGTTTCCAAGAAGAATTAATGCATTATAATATCTGCATTGTTTTGGGTTTTTTAATGCAACATTTTGCATGAACGTATTGATGCAAAAGCAATTGAATGCCATAAGGAAGCAAAATTCAGGTGAAGTATATGATATGATGCACTTAGACTATCTTGTAGGTCAGGGATCCCCAACCCCCGGTTCCGTAGACCAGTACTGGGCCATGGCATGCCAGCAACCGGGCCGCAAAAATAAGCAAAGCCCCATCCATGGGATGCAGGCAGCACACAAAACCACACACTTTCCAGTCCATGGAAAAATCTTTCTCCATGAAACTGGTCCCTGGTACCCAAAAGGTTGGGGACCTTTGCTGTAGCTGATTCTATTAGGATTCCTCTTGTCTAATCACATCAATCATATTTCATTTATTTATTTAAACATTTTTAAAGCCCCCCATCTTAAAACAACTTTGAGCAGTTTACAACCAATATATATTCACCAAAGTCACAGTCAGCCATATGCAAAATAAACTGAACGTTCATACATCCCCATTCCATATTAATTTAATTTTTCAAGAAAGCTAGCAAAAAATTATATGTTTTGGAACAAGTGGTATGACTGGTGGGAGACTAGAAATAATAGAGGAGAGTAAATATGGAAAGGTCAAAAGTGAAAATATGTGTATAATAATGTATAATAATAATAATATGAATTATTCTTAGTAATAAGTAGAGTATGAAAGAAGAAAAATATAAATAAGAAACAACGGGGCAATAAGGACAAATATTCTAAAGAAGAATAAGGGGGAGAAATGTAAATAATAGAAGATTACCATTACATAATCGCTGTTAAAAAAGTGGGGGAGGAGTATATACTGTGTGTGTATGTGTATTATGTTTTGTTTTATTTTGTTTTGTTGGTTTAAAAATAAAAAATATTTAAAAAAAATTATACGTTTGTGTGTATGTCTGTTCTGTTTCCTACATATTCGCAAGGTACGATATTTTCCTAAAATATGCATATAGGTCAATCCTGGATTTACAACCATTTGTTTAGTGATCATTCAAAAACAACAGCACCAAAAAAAGTGACTGACACTTATGACCATTGCAGCATCTCCACTTGGAAACCAGCATGAATTTTTAATGGTTGCAGCATCCTGGGATGAAGTAATCATCATTTGCAAGTTGGCTTCAAACAAACTTAATGGGGTAGCCAAATTTGCTTAATGCCTGCATGATTCGCTTAACAATGAATCAAAAAATGGTTGCAAAATTGAGCATGATTCACTTAACAACCACTTTGGTTAGCATGCAAATTCTGGTCCCATTATGGTTGTAAGTTAAGGACTACCTGTATGGTAATTTTTCTTTCCTAATGTAGTACAGTTTTACACAATTATTCTCTAATGTACATTTCCTGATTCCATCATATCCTTTTTGGTAGGGGCTTTGTCTTAATGAATTGGGGTTTTCTTGTGGATATTTTGCCCTAATTTAGGTTTGTCTGAGATATAAATGGCACTACGTATTTTTTAAAATTACAGGTGTCAGTGTTAAACTGCTTTCATTGTGTGCATAGCTTAAAGGTGTAATTTATGGTAGTATAAAATAAGTTGGATTTATGACTCATTGTTTATTAAGACTCTTCAACTTTTTGGCACATCAGCAACTTTGATCAGGGATTTTTTTTAAAAAAAAATATTTCCTCCTATTCCATAAGGTATGACCTACTAAAATAACCAAACACCTATAAATTCATTAATTGTGTATCTCTTCTTCTCTGCTCATCATCTAAATCAGGGGTCTTCAAACTTGGCCCTTCTATGACTTGTGGATTTCAACTCCCAGAATTCCTCAGCCAGGCATGCTGGCTGAGGAATTCTGGGAGTTGAAGTCCACAAGTCATAAAAGGGCCAAGTTTGAAGACTCCTGATCTAAATTTAAAAATGGGAATATGTTACACACAAAAACATCTTCCATTTCTGAACATTATGTCTGTATAATGTTACACACTTTGTATTACAATACAAAATAATTGTAATTGAGTTAAAAATCAATCCTGTTGCTGAAAGATGCATACAAAAATGAGTAATAATAGCCATGCATTATAGATATAGAATGCTGTAGAAATTGAATAAATAATAATTATACCTGTAACAACCATGTATTAAAAATAGTATGTATTACAGAAAGTTCTGTGTAAACTGTTTACAAAAAAATTATGCATTTCAAAGTCTCTATTGATTAAAAAAAATTCTGAAGAACATTTGATATAATAGAAAAATAGGGTAATATACGCAATATTTTAACTGAGAGAAATTTAGATAGTTCCATGCATTCTTAACTCTGATAGGCTTTACAGATCATTAAATTAACTCTCAAAATTTCCTATTTTATTCAATTTACCATTATTCTTTATGACGGAAGTCTGCCGTTTTGTCATATCTGCTGGAACACCATGAATTTCTATTTTGACTAAAGGATCAGCCTTGTTACTTTTGGAGAGATTACTTGGAGGTAGCTGATAGCCACTAATAATCTGGAGAAAAGACATGTATATATCAGTAGGCATCCTTATAGGACTGCTGGATTATATCAGTGCACAACTAATTATCCAATCATTGTCAGGCACAAGAAATCAGAAGCCAGGATAGAGTTCAAAAGCACTATGAGTTTATTTCATACTACCTACATACAAGAATCCAATCTACCAATGGTCAAGGCAAATTGGCACCAGATAAGAGTCAATGGACTTCGAAGGGGGGGGGGGCTGGACCTAGATCTCTGGGGGGAGGCATAGTGACTCCAAACTGATGATGCATTTGACCCTGTCCTTGAGCTCAGATTGGTCATCTCCTACAATTGCACAATCCTAGGTATTTTCATACATGGATAGAGATCTTTTTTAAAACAATCTTGAATAGCTTGTGTATCAGTTTTATTAAGTTAGGATTATGTGTGCAGGATAAAAATTTTCAGAGTTCTAGAATGGCATTTAATAAAAGATTGAAGCAACATTTTATGTAAGCTTGGCAACAGAATACTTACTCCTAACCTGATGAATGAATAATTAAAACAGAATGTTTGCTTTCAAGAAAATATACAGAGCTACAAGGACCTTGGATCGGGCCATTTTGACAAGTGGGCCACTTCCCATCCTTTTTCCTATTTTTCCCCATCTTCATCTTCCATAAGACAAGCAGATCCTTCTGTTTCACTGTTTGGGTATTTTCCCCCTGCCCTTGACTTGGACTCTGCTCTCAAACACCACTTTTTAGTTGACCCAAGCACCATCTGCCAGTTATAATAGCTGCTTTGCCTGCCTGCATCAGGGAGAAGAGGGAGGAGGCGTTTTAAGCTCCCTCCATTTGTGCCCCCGGAAATGTTAGTATAATCAGAGAGCTCTCCCAAGAGACAGCAAGTCTGGACCTTTTCCACACCATTCTCAAATTACTATTCTAATCATGTACCTGTCAACGCTGCTAACATCGGATGTTCTTGCTTTGATAACATATGGAGATGCAGCCATTTTCCTTCTTATGTTTTACTCTTAGAATTAGAGTTAGAATTAGATGATACTGAGGGGGAGGGGGAGGAATGTGCATGGGAGTTTAGTTAGACATAACAATATTGTAACTAGTGTGAGAACCAAGGTTTTTTGAAATAAGAGATGATAAGAAATGGTGGGTGGAAGAACTGGAGGGAAAGCCTGCATTTCAAACTAATTGGAGCATGTGATTTATGACTGTTAATTAGAGGAGGGAATTGTGCTTTGATACTATGTGCTCAGGGGAGGGGAATTCAGATTTTGGCTTTGCCTATGTACATGCTGATGTTATGCTACTCGAATAAAGATTCTTTAAAGTAAACAATGCCTTGAAATTCTTTGAAGAGTTTCATCTGTCAGAACCATGATATTACCTTTGTTAAGCAAGGGCAGAAGCAGCCTAGAAACGAATTACTATCCCTCCCAGAAACATTTTGTACAAATGCGAGGAACTGTCCACCTTTTAAGAAGATAACTGTGGTGCTTTTCACAGGTGGCTTGTAAAATGAAATATACTTTTCCTTGAGCTGGTTCTTCTTTGGGATGTCTTGAGCTACAAGTGCCTGACGATGAAGCAGGCGCCTTTTGACTCAGCCATGCCCATGTTCCTTCCAAATACCAAGATAGATTCCAGTCATCCTGTTTCAAAACCATCTGTCTGAAATGGTAAAGGGTTTCCTGCCTGAGCAGTGGGTTGGACTAGAAGATCTCCAAAGTCCCTTCCAACTCTATTATTCTATTCTATTCTATTCTATTCCATACCTTCAAGTTGTCTCTAATGTAAAATACTGTGGGAGAAGTTATCCATTCACAAAACACCTGCCCAATCACTATGACCAAAGACAGACATTTTCTTTTTTACACCTTCAAATCAATTTTTCCCTGCAATTTTCTTGAAAGCATTTTCAGAAATAATTTCCCATTGCTTTCTTCCTGGAGTTGAGAGGAAATATCTGGCCCAAAATCTCCCAGCTGACTTCATGCATATGGCAAGATTAGAATATATGGTCTCCAAGCTTCTAGCCTGGCTTCTGAAACCACTGTATCAAACAGGTTCTAATGGTTAACTTAACCATAACAAGCTGTTTTTATGAGATATGAGATATATTGAACTACAAGCTAACTATCTCTTTTAGGCATTGATTGAAGCATGTTTGCTGGTTTCAGTTCAGCTTATTAAGCAAGCAAAACCATTCACGGGTGGGGAATTAGTGATCTTGTTCTTGTGACAATTCTTCACTATCTGAATGTTTTACAACAGAGTGAGACCAAATATGTTAATTAAAATCTATTCTCCTACTTTCCAAAAAGGATTAAGTATCAGTTGAAGAAATGTATAGACCTATTCTCCTAACTATCTGAGGACAGAACAAGAAGTAACATATGGAAAGTTATCAAAGAGAGATACCACCTAGAACAGGGGTAGGCAACCTTGGCTCTTTTATGACTCATGGACTTCAACTCCCAGAATTCTGGGAGTTGAAGTCCACGAGTCATAAAAGAGCCAAGGTTGCCTACCCCTGACCTAGAACTAAGGAGAAATTTCCTGAGAGTGAGAGCAATTAATGTGGAATGGCTTGTCTCCAGAAGCTGTGAATGCTCCATCACTGGAGGCTTTTAAGAAAAGATTGGACAGCCATTTGTCTGGATCTCCAGCTTGAGCAGAGGTTTGGACTAGAGGACCTCTAAGGTCCCTTCCAATTCCATGGTTCTGTAATCTGTATGTCTATTCAGGAGAAGAGAATCCTGAGAAAGAGATATCAGATGCATTTTTCAAGGCAACATAGGCTAAGGATAATGATATCTTAGTTGTAGAAGTATAACTTTCTTGGTCTTTTCTAGTCAAATGTTTTCCTGGTGACTCAGTTCATGATATGAAGGAATTGTTTCTGAGATAAGCTGAAGTTTCCATGAAACGGTCTTACCTTTATTGTGAGTGTAATGGGATTATACCTATCAGCAACGTTAAATGGGTCAAATGCAGAGTCTCTTCTTCTCAAGAATTCTGGTTTCAAAATGTAACCAGAGCCTCCATTGTCCAAAAATTTTCCAATAAGTAAGTCCATCTGCACACCCGGTGTTTGGAAGTTTAAGGCCACTGCAGGAAAAAAATACAAATAAGAGCAAAACATATTTCTCTTTTTTAAATATTTTTTTATTTCACTTCCAAAGTTAAAATACAATCTTCAACAGAAAAGAAAGGAAACAAAAACAAAGCAAAACTAAGAAAGACAATAAAGTGCACAAAAAAACTCCAAAACTATACACATAAATTATCTTCCCTAGTTGAATACTGATATATTTCAACAATAATAGTTTCCCTCCTTGCAAAATAGGTCTAGAATTTATAAACTTCCACAGCTCTATTTACCCAGCTAATTTGACCTACCATTTATCTACTGTAAAAAAAAAAGTTACCGGTAATAGGGGAACATTTTCAATTGGTGGGGTAAGGGGCTGCCACAAAGAAAAGGGGTATCAAAGCACCTATTCTTCAAAGCACCTGAAGGCAGAACAAGAAGCAATGGATGGAAACTAATCAAGGAGAGAACCAACTTAGAACTAAGGAGAAAATTCCTGATAGTGAAAATAATAACTAATGGAACAGCTTGTCTTCATAAGTTGTGGGTGCTCCATCACTGGAACTTTTTAAGAAGAGACTGGACAGCCACTTGCCTGAAATAGTATAGAGTCTCCTGCTTGAGCAGGGGGTTGGGCTAGAAGACCTCCAAAATCCCTCCCAACTCTGTTTTTTTTTTACAAATTTTATTTATAATACAGTTAAAAACAAACAAACATTGGATTTAACGTGACATTCAGTATATACATTCTTATCAGATTATTCCACTTTTTACAATCAATTCTTCATCTCTACATATACATCTAAGTTTTATATACAATACTTATTCTAAAGTAACATATATTTCTATCTTAACATTCATCTTTAATCCCAACCATCCTCTTCAAATTCCTCCAGCGGTAAAATTTATCCCAGGTAATAAACTGATCCACATTTATCTTTTAATGTCATTGTGAGCCTGTCCATTTCCGCACATGCTAATATTTTATGTATTAACTCTTCCTCTGTGGGAATTTCTTTGCTCTTCCATTTTTGCGCAAAGGCAAGCCTAGCTGCAGTCAGGATGTGTAGCATCAGGTAGATTGTTCCCTTGTCAAATTTTTCTGTCGTTATTCCCAACAAGAAGAGTTCAGGTTTTAACTCTAAGTCCAGTGTTAATATATCCCTCAACCAGTTTCGTGTCCTGTTCCAATATTCACGGATCTTTGGGCATTCCCACCACATATGATAGTATGATCCTATTGCTGTTTTACATTTCCAGCACAGGGGTGTTTGAACCCATTTTGGCTAGCCTTACAGGTGGGAAATGCCATCTATAAAACATCTTGTAAAGATTTTCCTTATATGAGGTAGCTAAGGTGAGTTTCCTATTTCTTTCCCACAGTTCTTGCCAAATATGCAGGTCAATACTGAAACCAAAATCCCTACTCCAAATTAACATGGTCTCCTTAACCTATTCTTCATACATTGTCTGATCTAAAAGAAAATGATATATTTTTTTAATCATTTTATCCTCTGGACCTAATAAAATCTTATCTAGTTCTGTCAGTTCTATCTTTACACCCCACTCTTTTTTTATCTTGCCTATATCTTGCTTGTAGTTGGGAGGTATAACTCTGTTATTCTATTATTCTGGTGAATCTCATCTCAGCAGACTAAGAGCCATCTCTATGGGGTTGTAGAATCAAGTGTCTTTCCTATGATTGGACTTGCAATTGCTTGTTTATTCTGGAGTACCCTTTCAAGAGTCAGTTGTTCCCTTTATTTTTGACACTGAATATAAATTGTGGGTTGGAAGGGTTAAACTTGGTGTTGAATCAGGCAAGGGGAGGGTTGCCTGAAAATAATAGGTTACTATCTAAGCATCATATCTCCAAAGGAAACCACTCTGATTGAGTTCCTTCATTTCAGTTCATAAAAGAACTGAACTCGTTCCTTCCCTGGGTATCAATATTTTGTTTGGATGCCTCTGTATTTCACAGACATCCAATTTTCTGCAAGACAGGCTTGCCTAGTCCTGAGCAACATGCAATTAATGTTCTTTTCATGCTAGGAAAAGATGCACGAGTATACAGCACATCTCATCAAAGCTTTTGGTGTCAAGGAATTCATATCATAAAATAGAAGAATTTATCTTATGTTATGCACTCCAGTAAGGCCATTAAGAGTGAAAATGAAGCAATGATTGTTGAATTCAACAGGAAAGGGTGGCATTTACCTGTTACCCTCTTCTCAGACAAGACCCCCCAGCAGCTGCTGTAGATAAAAAACAGTGATCTGATTCCATACAATAAGTTTATTGTGTATATGTGGGCCTTAAGTCAGTGTTGGCTCCTAGGAACTGCCTGAACAAATCCCTTGGCAACATTTTGAAAGTGTTTTGTCCTGGTTTTCTTCCTATCACTTAGAGCAGTGTTTCTCAACCTTGACAATTTTAAGGCATGTGGACTTCAACTCCCAGAATTCCACAGCCAGCATTGCTGGCTGTGGAATTCTGGGAGTTGAAGTCCACAAGCCTTAAAATTGTCAAGGTTGAGAAACACTGACTTAGAGAGAATGACCTGCCTAAGGTCACTTTGATGGCTTCATGAATAAGGTAGGACTAGAATTCACAATCTCCCAGTTTCTAGTTTTGTATCTTAATCACTATATCAAAGGGGCTCTCCTTCCCGTTATAGGAAAGAAACAAAGGACAAATACAGTTGTTTAGAAAACCTGCACTCTAGTATTATTATCTCAGAACTTGCAGAAAGTGAATATCAAGAGACTTCAATTTTCTCCCAGCAGTATACTTGCTATAATCAGTACAATCCCTGGATCAAGTTTTCCTATCATGGTGCGTTTCTGGCTGGGATAGTGGACTTCATTTCCCAGAATTCTAGGTTAATTTGGAAAATATGTAAGTTGAAAGTGGATACTTCCAATTGCTTTTTTTTGATACTCTGAACAGGAGGGGGTTTTCTATTGTATCTATATGATTGTCATCAGTGGCATCTGCAGTCAACCTCCATGATGTCAAAATGAAATGTGTGCAGTGATTTTATTGTTGTTGTTCAGTTGCTAAGCCATATCCAACTCTTCATAATCCCATGGACCATCACACACAAGGCCCCCTATCCTCCACTATCTCGCTGGGTCTGTTCAAACTCATGTCCACTGCATCGATGACACTATCTAACCATCTTATCCTCTGCCATCCTTCTCCTTTTGCCTTCAGTCTTGCCCAACATCAGAGTTTTTTTTTTTTAAATGAGTCCTCTATTCTCATTTGGTGGTCAAAATTTTTGAGCCTCAGCTTCAGGATCTGTCTTTCCAAAGGACAGTCAGGGTAGATGTGCTTTAAGATTGATTGATTTGAACTCCTTGTCCAGTGATGCCATCATGCAATATTGCCTTTACTTATTTGCATTTCAGTGGTCAATGCAAGTATGCAGAATTTGTGTGATGACGGTTGTCGTGCACTTTTCTTAATTTCCCCCCTCCCCCAGCTTCCTCACAGTCTGGTCTTCAAAGATAGCATTTCACAGTTAGAAATGCACATAAAAGCTTCAGCTCAGCCTAAGTTTCAATATTAAGTTGTTCACATACTTAATGAGATTGGTCTCGTCTCCGGCCATCTCATTGCTGCTCTAGATCCAGTCTTATCACAACAGAATACATATTTCATGTGAATTTAGCCAATTGTAATTAACTGAGTAAACAAATCACAGCTTAGTGGGATGTGTTGACTAAGATATTTTGGCTCCACTGTCCCTGTGAACTTTCCGATCTCCTTAGCAGTAACCCACAGTTGTAGCTAAACGTTTTTCAATATTTTTGCCTACTTTTCAAACAATTACTGACTCCTGTAGTGGCACAAATCATAAAACAGAGGTCCTGTCTATTGAAAGTTGAAGTATTTTATGAGTGAGTGAATGTGTGTGTGTGTGTGTGTGTGTGTATGAGACTGAGAGAATGAAAATGAGAGAGAGCACATTCCTAAGAGCAGAAATCTCACTTGAGCAATGTTAGTGAAATAGAGTTGATAACTAAGCCAGAAAAATTTACTTACTGGGAATTAATTATAGACCTAAGCAAAGCCTACCACTTTATTAACTGCCTCCTACCAGGAGGAGAGTCAAACAGTCCATGCATTTAATCTGAGAATTAAAGCAGAAGGAACTGACCTCACATTGGCAATCTCCTAGACCACCATTTCATAACCTAGATATGTTCATGATGTGTGGACTTCCCCAGCCAACAGACCATTGCTAAGAATTTTGGGAGTTGAAGCAGGTTGGGAAATGTTAATGTAGACAAAGAACAGGAGTCATAAGTAAAAAGGGGATACAGGATAAATCTTTAATTCTATTTCCCCCTTTTGATCACTCGATTAGGAGATAATAAAGAGAAGGTTCCACAGGAATTGGCCCTCCAAAATTGCCATATCATGTTTACAAAATAGAAAGCCAGAGAGAAAAAAGGAATGCAGTGTAAGAGGGAAATTTGGTTCTTTAAATTCAGGATTTAGAATTAACTTCACCATGGGGAAAAAAAATCTGTGTGCTTGATAGAAGTCAACACCACCTTAATGGCACACAATCCTTGTCTTTATCATCAACTTTGAAATGAAGCAGAGAAATGTAAGTAGATACATTTATATCCACTACAGACAACTTTCCTTTACTAGCTGTAATTTATTTATTTATTTATTTATGAGACTTATATACCGCTTTAAGTGCGAGCACTCTCTAAGCGGTGTACACCAGTAAGCAATGTATATATATATTTACATTGCCCCCAACAATCTGGGTCCTCATTTTACCTACCCGGAAGGATGGAAGGCTGAGTCAACCTTGAGCCGGTGAGATTTGAACCGCTGACCTACTGAACACAGTCAGCTAAAGTGGCCTGCAGTACTGCACTCTAACTGCTGCGCCTCGGCTAATAATAATTTCTTTATTATTACATTTATATTCCAGTTCCTGCCAAAGACTAATGGGGGGAAATAGCATCGGTGACCCTTGTTTCTTTGATCAATGAATGGAGCCAACCATGCTTGTTCTTAGGCCTATGGTTCTTTCTGGAAGACTTGAATACCAATTTCTTCTGGCCCCAGTGAACACTTTCCCAATGAAAATCTTGTTCAGCATAGCAGATTTGACTAGAATCTAAGTGACCTACCTAGCTGGCTTCCAACATTCCAGAATTCTTGAGGATCATAATTTGAAGAGTCTGTTCTGGTTCCCTTGGGGTAGATTCTTGTAAGGAAGCGGACTGTGTGTGAGACAAAATCAGGAGCTGCAAAAAAGACATGTTCAAAAAGTTATTGCAAAGAAATATGCCTAATTCTGTTACTCTCTGTTATTGGTTCATTGCTCCTTTTATTGCTTCTTTTATTATGCATATTTTTGCATTGTTTCGAAGAATGCTTTTCTCAACTGTTTTGACCTACTTTCTGATTATTGCAAACTCTTTTTTTTTGCAATGAGAAGCAATATGTAAATATTTTAAATAAAATAAATAAGTGTAGGAAAGGCTACAGACACTTTTAAAATAGCAAATATAACAAGTTGATAATGTTTTAAAAGGGAATTTGTATATGCTGACAACAAATTCACAATATGTATTTATGCTGGGCGCCTTTTGGGAGCCAGTTTGGAGTAGTAGTAAGGCATTAGTCTAGAAACTGGGAAATTGTGAATTCTAGCACTGCTTAAGTGTGAAAGACATCTGGATGATTTGGGGCCAATCATCAGGAGTCTATGAGTTCTAATCCTGCCTTAAGCGTGAAAGACATCTGGATGATTTGGGGCCAATCATCAGGAGTCTATGAGTTCTAATCCTGCCTTAAGCATGAAAAACATCTGGATGATTTTGGGCCAAACACCAGAAGACTGTAAGTTCTAGTCCTGCCTTAGGTGTGAAAGTCAGGTGTGTGACCTTGGTCCAGTCACTCTCTCTCAGCTCTAGGAAGAAGACAAGGGCAAATCACTTCCAAAAATCTTGCTAAGTAAACTGCAGGGCCTAGTCCAGTCATTACCAGGAGTCAACAATGACTCAAAGGCACAATATATCTGAAAGTAATTTAGCCATGAAGAAACTACATTGATTTAACAGCAATTAAGAGAATTTCAGGAGAATTGTCATGGGTATTCTTGAACTTCCTTATCTCTGAGGTGACCAAGGGATGTATATAGGCTAATTGTGAGCAGTCAACCAGTCTTCTCGTGGTTTCATGAAAGATCAAGGGAAGGCACCAAGAAGAAACTCTTCCTATTGCTTATTGCTTTAGTTTTTTTTTTTTGTAAGAGTACCATTCCACCAATAAATTCAGAAGGAATACCACTAGAAAAAGTTGAAAGAATCACGCACGCCAGTTCCAATGTACATGAAAGCTGGGACATGACCATTGAAGTAAAGACAAGGATAGAAAAAGCCCGAACAGCATTCTCCAAAATGAAAAAGGTCTTCTGCAGTCATAAGCCTAAGACTAAAAATCAAGCTTGTCAGATGCTATATTTTTTCTATCCTATGGAGTACAGAGTTGGTCTCTGACAGAAGGCCACCTGAAGAGACTAGAAGCATTTGAAATGTGGATTTACAGGTGGCTGTTACGTATAAGCTGGGTTGACAAGATCAGAAATGAGGAGGGGATAAGCCGCCTGGGAAAGCCAAGGGAAATCATCAAAACAATTAAAAAACAAAAATTAGAATATTTCAGACATGTGATGTGACACCCAGAAAAATACAGCATACTCCATTTAATCCTCCAGGGAAAGATTGAAGGCAAATGAGGTCCAGGCAGAAGAAGAACATCGTGGCTTCAAAATCTAAGGGACTAGTTTGGACAAAACTCAGCAGCACTTTTTCATGCGGCTGCTGATAAAAACAGGATTGCCAACATGATCACCAATGTCCGATAACGGATGTGGCACAAGAAGAAGAAGAAGAAGAGTACCATTATCAGCAGGGGGGGGGGTCTGAAATGTCTCCTCTTCCTAAAGAAATTCAGATAAATTGTCCACCCAATTTCTCTATCTTTACATTTGCTGGATAATTTCAAAAAGGCCAACTATCCTGGCAGCCAACTCGTCCAAAGATTTTGCTTTGATCCATATCTCTGGCAGAACACCTATGCAAGCGTTATGGTCCACATTCTGTGTGAACATCCTCTTGAAGAAATATGGCATGATTAAGCCAACTGTTGGAAGTTCTATGTGGAAGATTTATTCCAGTTTAAGTAGTAGAAGGGAGGAAGGTAGATAAATTGAGAAGCCTTGAGGTTACATCTACTGTAAATATCAGGCAGAGAGTATACTTCTGTCTTGCCCTGTGAGGTGGCAATGTCTAACTGACTTGGTTGATCTTAAAAGAAAATGGCAAGTAGGGTCAGTCCTGGTTAGCATTTAGATGGAAACTAGTGGGAAGTCTCAGGAACTGGAGGCTAAATTGGGAGGTAAACAAATCAAAAAGAGGAAGTGGCACTGAAAAACACATTAGTATTGTTACCCCCAACAATTATGTGAAAGTGTCCATGAAATCCCAGAGTTAAATCTGACACAAAGGAGTCTCTCTCTATATATATACCCCTGTAATACATTGAAAAGCTTCATAAATTAACACAAGGCATTTTTATTCCCACGGACATTTTGAAAACTATGCTGGCTCCAAAAAACAAATAGAGAAATATGTAGCTCACTTAAATATTATTTTGAGGGTTGAAACTTCTACATTACCTCTTTTGCTGATGAGCTTCTGACCTTTCGTCTCTCCGATGGAATTATTTTGGTAGCATTTCTGCTTCTCCCTGGAATCCTCAAAACTGACAAACTTCCGAGAAGCAGTATAAATCACAAGTTCAGAGAGGAGCAAAGCAACTTTGACTTTATGGCCCTAAGAACAGAGATTGACAAAAGGTGTGCCTCTCAGAAGCCCAAAAGTAATGTGTGGTGTCAAGTTTAAGTACACCGGGGGTGACAACATTGGGAAGACAGTGTAGTTCTAGAATTTAGGTAGACACATTCTTCAATCTCCTCCCATTCAGTATGAACAAGAGAGAGTGTGCTTTAGCACTGGGCGGGTCCCAAAGATCAAGATGGTCTCAGGATATTTGGATCTTTGCATATAAAAGTTTCTGGACCGTACCCTTGTGCTTCAGACATTTTTTTTCGACAGAAAACGTTTTGATGGAATTATCCAGGTTGGATTGTGGCAGACATGTCTATGGCAGGGGATTAGGTGGGGTGCTAAAGATAAAAGCAGCCTTGTGCTATTGTGAAAGAAGCTTCACCCCCTGCGTACATGCATTGTGATGTCATTTTCGTGCACATACGAAAGAGGTGGAATTTCTATTGGAACAGCACAGCTGCTTTGGTGGTGCCTTGACAGCAAACATAGTGGTGATTTGAACCTGGACTGGTAGCTGGACAACACCTATTGGGTGCTTTCAGACCCTTTTCAGACCTGGCAATTCTGTTGCTTTATCTTCTCAAGAGAAAGGGGGTTGCCCGTACAAACATAGGCATTCTCTTCCCATTTGTTAAATGAGTAGTTTTCTATTTATGAGCTATATATGTGAACCTGAAATCATGCAAATCTTCCCATGTTGGTTCTGTTTGAAAGAGACCAGCACAACAACATTTTCTGGCGGTGGGAACATCAGAATGGATGACCTACAATGCCAGGTTGTCAGGATATGTGGGAATGTCCTTGCAAGACAGAAAGAAGAGCTGCAGCCTAGACTAGGGGTCTCCAAACTTGGCAACTTGAAGACTTGTGGACTTCAACTCCCAGAATCCCCTGCCAAGTGGCTGGCTGAGGAATTTTGGGAGTTGAAGTCCACAAGTCTAAAATTGGCAAGTTTGGAGACCCTTGGCCTAGTTCAGGTGTAAGTAACCTCGGCTCTTTTATGACTCATAGACTTCAACTCCCAGAATTCCTGAGCCAGATGCTGGCTCAGGAATTCTGGGAGTTGAAGTCCATGAGTCATAAAAGAGCCGAGGTTGCCTACCCCTGCCCTAGGGCAGTGTTTCCCAACCTTGGCAGCTTGAAGATGTGTGGACTTCAACTCCCAGAATTCCACAGCTGGATGTTTTTCACAACGGCTTCATTAATGTTTCCTCAATAAATCTACTCATTGGGACTTTAATGTCTTTGGAAGTCAATTCTTGCCGTTTCTTGCCCAGCTAGTCGAGCCTGCAAGTGTTTGTTTTCTTATTTTGAAAGTATCAAGGCAACGTTGCTGTGCATAATGGCCCTTGGCTTACCTTGCCCTTGTCTTTAGTTGGCCTCCGAATGAGCGCTTTCTTTAGCATACGCCCAGTACTTTCGTCATCTTCATCCTCTGACTCCATAGTATCCTCAGTTTCTTCTGTAAGACCCTGGTATTTCTGACCCCTCCGTTGAAGGGTGTCTTGGAGTGATCCAGCTTTCTTATTCTTAATCAGGATCTTTAATTTCAATTGCTGCGAAGGGGAAAAGGGCACCTATTCAGCAGGGTAAGCTACAAAACTAAATGGCAAGGACAATTAAGATAGGTTTCTGGTTCAGGGGTGTCAAACTGCCAGCCCACAGGCCGGTTCCATTATGCAGAGGCCATGCCCACTCCAGCTCCAGTAATGCAAGCATCGCAACACTTCACTTGACATGGCGAGTTTGACACCCGTGAATGAAAAGTTTAATGAAAAGAAGGACTAAGGGTGATATGATAGCAATGTTCCAATATCTCAGGGGCTGCCCCAAAGAAGAGGGAGTCAAGCTATTTTCCAAAGCGCCTGAAAGCAGGACAAGAAGCAACGGATGGAAATTAATCAAGGAGAGAAACCTAGAACTAAGGAGAAACTTCCTGACAGTTAGAACAATTAACCAGTGGAACAACCTGCCTCCAGAAGCAGTGAATGCTCCAACACTGGAAGTTTTTAAGAAGAGACTGGACAGCCATTTGTCTGAAATGGTGTAGAGTTTCCTGCCTGAGCAGGGGGTTGGACTAGATCAGTGTTTCCCAAACTTGACAATTTTAAGGCATGTGGACTTCAACTCCCAGAATTCCACAGCCAGCGTTGCTGGCTGTGGAATTCTGAGAGTTGAAGTCCTCATGCCTTAAAATTGTCAAGTTTGGGAAACACTGGACTAGATGACCTCCAAGGTTCCTTCCAACTCTATTCTATTCTAAGATTTGCATTGACTGGAAGCAAAACGAGTATTGCCATCTCTTCCCAGAAAAATTGGTCCCAAATTCATTTTTTATGAGAGATAAACAAACCACAGGAGAGATATCCATCTTTCATCCATAATTTTTGTTTTTTCTAAGGAAGAAGGAGCACGTGATTTTACCTCTGGGGAGGGTAATTCTGTTGGCACAGCATTGTCAATGGTTGTAGTACACAAAGTATCACGCAGGATGTCAAGGAGATGAGCTGCCATCCTTTCCTGCTGTGGAGGGCTGCAGTGATTCTCCAGTGACAAAATGATGGGGTAATCAGAAGCCTGAAAATAAATTGAAGCGGTTATAGGATATGCTACATCAGGGATCTTCAAACTTGGCTCTTTTATGACTTGTGGGCTTCAACTCCCAGAATTCCTCAGCCAGCATGTAGTCCACAAGTCATAAAAGGGCCAAGTTTGAAGACCCCTGTGCTACATAATCAAAGCATATTGGGACCAGTAAAGACTATCCCCATAAGTTTGCATACCTCCCGTAGTTTTAGCTCTTTAGCCTTCTGTGTTATTGTTATATCTCTTTATGGAACCTTTTAATTTTACACCATACTATTCTAATCTCACACATACAATACTGATATTAAATACAGATTTAGTAATGTAATAATTTTATGCTTTGCATCAGCTATTTTAAATTATATTTCAAATGGTTTATATTTACATAACACATTTCTATGTTTCTGTGTTTTAATTGTACACTGTCCACTGCCCAGAGTAATTCGGGGTGGGAGATGGGTAATCTCCATTTGATTGATTGATAAATAAATAAATAAATAAATAATAAATATTTGGATGTTATCCCACTGTTTTATCCAAACTGTATACATCTCTGCCTTACTCCCCCTTGTCTTCATAACCTTAAAATTAACATCTTAATGATATTGGTATCAAAATTTTATAGTTTGTGATTTAAATCTTAGGCAGCTCTGATATAGATTAGACTATTACAATGGGACAGTTGTAATTTTATCTGTGAATTTTACCTGTTATGTAAGTCAATGACCAAAATAATGGTATTTCTACTAAAACATATATGCTGATTTATTTCTAATAATAAGGAAGTTCATCCTGCCGTATTAAGAATATGGAATAGATACAAATGGATTGAAAGGAATTTCTCTGAATCTTTTTCCTTCTTTTCTCTTCTTCTTCTACTATTTTCTCCTGTTTCTCGCATTTTAAGTTTTATATTTCTTTTTCTTTAGTTTGTATTGATCTTTATTGCTCCTAGAAGCACAAAGCCGAAAACACCAGCCTGAAGATGATGAATGGGACTTTGTCGAAACATCGCCAAGACACTTCCAATTTTACGCAGGAGAAAACCCGAATAACCAAAGACCTACATATATATGTGTGTGTGTGTGTGTGTGTGTTTAAAAAAATAGGGAAGTTGATCCTATCCCCCATCAGATCTATAATGCTCTATGAGGCTGTCCCTTTATGGAATTTTATCTAGAATTAGTCAAGATAGGGTAAGATGCAGCTGGATATTTTGCTACTAAGAGTATTGGTTTATGTACTACAGGGTTGTTCCAAAGGTTGCTTTTTCAAGAGGCAACTGGACTTCCTTTGTTTTTCCTTGAAGATGTTTTGCTTCTCATTCAAGAAGCTTCTTCAGTTTTGCTTCTTAGATGAGAAGTTAAATGTCTTCAAGAAAAAAACAAAAGTCTAGTTGCCTCTTGAAAAAGCATCTTTGGGACAACCATGACATGGATAACTGGCAATTTCCATAGACATACTACAGGATTGAACAGACAATCTAAGATTTCATATTTCATTGTGGACTGGAATATAAAAGCTCATTAAGATAACTGGTATGATAATAGCACAATTTAGTTAGTTGCTCCTAAATTGGGTCCAACTGGCAGCAATTGTCCACATAAATGCCTGCCATGTTGACTTGATGCTGCCAACTATCAGTAGTTCTTCCAAGGAAATTTTTTAATTCTGTCTATCCATTTTTACCTTTTTTTTCACTGACCATAGTTTAGCCATGCAGAGTTGTTTTAGCCCATCCCTCACATGTCTAAATCATGTGAATTTCTGCTAACTCACCATCATATCAAGAAAACAGTCAGCCTTAGTCCAGGACCAATTGATTGATTCTTCTTGCTTTTTGTGGTACTCATCTCCAAATCCATAAAGTGAAAACATCAATCTCTCTTCTCCCTGCACTTTCTAAATATTTCACTGCCATACATTACCACTGAAAAGACTCTTGCTTTATTTATGGTGAACTCGCTTGTCATAACAATATCCTTATCCTTCATCACCTTGACCACATCTATCATGGCTTTCCTGCCAAGGATTAATCTCTTTATTACTTCAACCCACTATCCTTCTTTATCTATAAAGATAAAGAAATAAAAATATCTACTGGCTTCCTGTCTTTTATAGTCAGTCACAACTTCACAAAATTTGCGGATGGTGGTGTAGATACCTTATATTTAACATTGGCTCAGATGTTTCATTTTTCATTTTTTACTTTCTGAAGGACTTTGTCTAAGTCTTCTTTACTTTGCCATGTCTGCATATCTGATGCCAGCATTTATTGCTTTTAAACCTGCTATAACAAATTTGCTGCGTGACCTAAATAAATACAGGGGTATTTTCCTTATGTTGAATCTCTCTGTTTTTCTAGACTCTGTTTTTACACAGTTCTCTATAAAGATTCCTCACAAGTTAATCAGTTGTTCTGGCACACTCATTAGTCTTAATATGTTCCAATTCTAGCATTATTTACATAATTAAAGGCCTTGCTGTTACCAATGAAGCAAAGTTAAATGTTCTTGTTACTTTAACCTGTTATGTTAAATATCTGATCTTATGTCCTACTTATGTACTTTATTATATTACATACTATTTAAAACAGTGATTTTGTGCTATTTTCTCAGAACTGTTATGGGGCAATATAGAAATATTATTAATAAATAAAGCAATAAAACACCAATGGTGTTTTCAGTGATGTTGTCCTCAACAAGATGCACAGAGCAAAAATCTTTTTATGTTCCTTTGCAACCAGTACCTCGAACCACCTTTAAAGTTCATCTGTTTGAGTTTTCTCTCCATTATCTGGCAATTACACATAAGGGGAACAGTTACATCTATAGAATAGGAAGCCATCCACACTCATCCATCTCTATGAATTACCGACAGTTGCCTCTGCTTTGGTCAACCATGGGCACCACCTACCTCAAACGCATGTTTGTGTATAACATTGATGACATTCTGGAAGGTAATTTTGCTCGTCAGGGTATGTCCATGATAAACCACTGGCTCGTTATTTGGCCCATCCCAGCAGTCAATCTCCACGCAGCGGCATCCCTTTCTAAGGGAACTTTTAAAAGAAAAATGTGTTTGGAGGGTTTTCAGCAATGCAACAAAACATCCCATTTCAGCATCCGATTCAGTAGAACTCATTGTGGAGTTGTCTGTGTTGTTGCTTTTGTTTTGATGCTGTCTATACTTGGTCAGGAGCTTGAAGGTGACGATGATTTACAAACATTGGGTCATTAAATCAGAATTTGCTTTATAATTTGCAGGGTTATTTTTCAATAGCTCTTTATTGGGTGAGAGCTTGTTTTCACACAGAACACAAAACTCATCACAACTGTTTTGTATCTACAGATAAGTAGGTTGCTCGGTTTCTATACCTTTATATTCAAATCATGATGTATTTGACAATTTCTCCCAGTGGAGGATTGCCTCTATTTGTGAGTTATGAAGCATGATATGACCTTGAAGTACCCATCATGTGTAGCTTTTCCTCAAAATTATTGAAGACTATATTAAACAGTTTTATTTTCACATCAGAAGATAAAAGTCACAACACTGACTAGACCAAAGTAATTCAATGAGTTTCATGGCTCGGAAAAGATCTGAAAGGAGAATCCAATCTTCTCCAAGCTGCTACCTTTCACATGTATGGATTTTAACTTCCTGAATTGTCAATAATGGCAGTACTAACTCTAAATTCTGGGAATTAAAGCCTGCCAATCTGACTGACTCCCAGAGATAACTTAATTCAGCTGCATGGCATTCCAGTGTTCTTTGTGAATTTTGTGCATATGCTACTGACTAAAATGCAAGACTATAAGTAAATTTGCATCTTCCAGATGTCTTGTAACTATAACTCACAGAAATCCAAATGGTGTGCCATCTTTTTCAATGTTCTCGGAGACATAGAGTTTTGGAACACTAGTGTAATTTGTTTTATGATATTCTCAAACCGTTTCAGAATCTTTCCCAAATCCCTGTAAAAAGTGTAAGCTTCGGGGGGGTGGAATTAGATTTCAAAATATGAGTATGTTAAAATCTTTGTTGTTTTCTCCCTCGTTCTTTGGACCAAAGTTCTTGGAGGTAATATCTTTAAGTGTTACTATTTTTCATTAAAAAACAGTACTTTAGACTTTTTCATATAGGCCCACCCATGTGTTTAGTCCATTCTCCAAATCATGAAGAAATAAACATATTTCTAGGATCAGAAAAGTCTGAGCATCTTTCCTATGCATCTCCAAATCTCATTGCCTAGAAGCCGAAGGCTACACAAAAAGCATGACCACAATAACTGTCTAACCACAACTCCTGAATTGTTTTACCTTGCTAAAGCAGTGGTTCTCAACCTTTTTAAAGCCGTGACCCCCAACTGGTCGTAAGTCGAGGACTACTCAACTGCTGCAGCACCGTTTGCAGAATGGGACTTTTGGCAGGCTCAGCAGGGCAGAGACAGCCTGGACAATTCCTATTGGCTTTTGAAAGCCAATAGAATTAGACTCTATTCAAGAGAGTCTATTCTATTGGCTTTCAAAAGCTAATAGAATAAAAGGGAGTAGCACAGCTAAGGAAAAGGGGGGGGGGAATGGCGGACTGCGTTGTTTGGCGACCCCCGTGAAATGGTCGTTCGACCCCAAATGGGGTCCCGACCCACAGGTTGAGAACCACTGTGCTAAAGGAAGAATATATCCTTCCTCCTGCAAGCTGACAACATTCGTTTAACCATTGTTTCTTGCAAAGAAAAAGCCATACAATAGGACTTAGGAACACACACCTCTCAAACAAATTGCATTAATTGATTGGCTGTGACAAATCCAGTGAAGTTGTCAAGCATCATCTTATGACACATTGGCTAGGTTGATATCTGTACATTCATATTGCAGTATTCTAGTTGCTATCTGTTTGAATTTGCTTTTCCATTTGCACAAAATGATAAGCAGAATGTTTACAGTACAATTTTCCCCTAAGATATCAAACTTTTTCCACAGTCAATTACAGCAAGAAAATTGTTGAAACAAAAGTCACTTCATTTTGTGCTGAATATTCCTTTAGTCTCCTGTTTTGGCTACAGGAATCATCCTGAATTGTACCCTATTTCTGTTCTTAAATCTGGAAGCAGCCTAAAGTAGAGCTCATTTCAGGTAAATGTTACTGATAAATAATATTTAGAGATAAACTTTGAAATTTCAAAGTGAACCACAACATTACAGCATGTCTGATGCTGGAAGAGTTGTTCAATATCAATTTTATTTATGTATACATTTACAGATATATCACATTCAAACATGTTTTTGTAATAGCTAACAAAAATAATCATAAGACCAGTAAAAGGAATTAACCCCCAGTAATGTTATATAATAATGATACAAACTACAGGTAATCCTTGACTTACAAAGATTCGTTTAATAACCATTCAAAGTTACAACAGCACTGAAAAAAATGGCAATTTTTCACACTTATGATTATTGCAGCAACCCCATGATCGAAATTTGGATTTTTAGCAACTGACTCATATTTATGACAGTTGCATTGTCCTGGGGTCATGTGATCCCCTTTTGTGACCTGACTAGCAAAGTCAATGGGGAAGTCAAATTCACTTAACAAGTGTGTTATTAACTTAACAATTGCAGTGATTCACTTAACAACTTCTTTACTGCCTACTAACTTCACTAATTGCAGTGACTTACTTAACAATTGTGGCAAGAAAGGTCATAAAATGGGGCAAGACTTACTTAACAACTGTCTTGCTCAGCTACAACGTGGTTGTAAGTCAATGACTACTTACATATATATATATATATATTTACAGTAATAAATCAGTGATGCATTCATCTTGAAAAATAGTAACAGTATATTAAATAATACTTCAAAATATAATTTCTTTAATAAAAATAATCCCAGAACAAAGAAATTTACAATTATTAGATCAAGAACCGCCTTCTAAAACCAACAATTTAGTAAGAGAGACATAATATTAACCAATAATATAACAGCTACCCAATACATGAAATATTCAGACAGGTCAGAAATCAAATTAAAACGGATTAAAATTGTCCTACTTATTAATTATGACTTACTGTATTTATCCCATTGATTTCAGTGGGGGGGGAATGACTAATTAGTCTACCTTCAGCTTAATAAATTACAAAAATAGTTAAGAAAGTCTTCGATATTCAATTAAGTACCTTATTTCAAATAATAGCATTAGATAGTATGGCATATTCCATAAATGTTTGCATAACTACATAAATCGAGGTTCTGTCTTGGTTAGAATAGAAAAGGAGCATAATGGCTTGCGTGGTTAGGATGCGGGGATGGAGGTTAATGAGCCCATGTTTGAAGTACAAGTGCTGCCTTGGGGTGGGGTTGAGCTCCCATCCTTTGCTCCAGCTCCTGCTGGGGAAATGAAAGGAGCCCTCAGTTGGGTGTCCCCCCCAATTGGGTGTCCTTTCAACCCAGAAATGCCGCGGTGTTTCTGACACAGATGCAAACAAGGTTAAAATAGAGAAAAGGAATACTTGAATAAAACAGGTAATCCTTTTCATTGTTCTATATAGATTTGGGGTTTTGCTGTAGCTATCATTTTTGAGCAGCTTTTTTTTAGACATCGATCCACCATTCCTTCTTTCTCTCCCAAAAGAAGTACATACTTGGCATAGCCCCAGAGATGACTTGGCCCTATTAGCTGGTCCTGGATAAGGTAAGTGTTGTGTGAAGACGATATGAAGTAATCGCACAGCGGGAAATTCATATCTTGGTAAACCGTTTTGTTCTCCATTTTGAATAAACTACACTCTTCTGACAGCATGTATCGTATAAAGCCTTCGATGGTCATCTCCTTCTGGCTTCTCGCTAAAGGTGATGGTGGAATTAAAAGAAACAAGCTCAGTTTTTCAGAGTTATGTTCCAAATGAAACTAGGCAGAGTAGAAATGGTCCACATATTATTTCACCAATTCTTAAACTGCACATTAAGACTTACTTTATTTCATGTCATTAAACGCTACATAAGTCTTGTCCAATCAGGAGACCTGCAAAAATTTTAGTTAGTTTAACCATATATGCACATGGAACCAGGCATAGTTCTTTCATAGGCTTGTAGTAGTGCTGTAAAACAAAATTCTTTATTTATTTATTTATTTATTTATTTATTTATTTATTTATTTATTTAATTTATTTATTTATATGCCGCCCAATCCCAAAGGACTCAGGGTGGCGTACAAAATTAAAACAATCATCGAGAATAAAACAATAAAATAATTCAATCATACCACAAGTCCGATCATGTCCCGCCCCCACCCCCCGGGGACATCAGCCCCAGGCCTGCCAGAACAGGAGAGTTTTAACGGCTTTCTTAAAGGCCGGGAGTTGTTCGAACCTCAGGGGGGAGTTGATTCCACCAGGTCGGAGCCACCACAGAAAAGGCCCTTCCCCAAGGGCCCGCCAGCCGACATTGTCTGGCCGACGGGACCTGAAGGAGGCCCAATCTATGGGACCTCACCGGTCTCTGGGAACTGTGCGGCAGTATGCGGTCCTGTAAGTCACCTGGCCCTATGCCATGAAGGGCTTAAAAGGTGATAACCAACACCTTGAATTGCGTCTGGAGACCCACAGGAAGGCAGTGCAGCTCGCGGAGGATAGATGACATGTGGGCGTACCTTGGCGCGCCCACAATCGCTCTCGCGGCTGCATTCTGAACCAACTGCAGCCTCCGAACGCTCTTCAAGGGTAGCCCCATGTAGAGCGCATTACAGTAATCCAGTCTTGAGGTGATGAGGGTATGAGTGACTGTGAGTAAAGCCTCTCGGTCCAGATAAGGCCGCAACTGGTGCACCAGGCGAACCTGGGCAAAGGTCCCCCTGGCCACAGCCGATAGATGTTGTTGCAAATTTAGCTGTGAGTCCAGGAGGACACCCAAGTTGCGTGCCTGCGCTGAGGGAGGTAAATTTGCCCCCCCCAGGACTAATGATGGACCATCCAGTTGACCTTTGGGAGGCAAGACCCAGAGCCACTCGGTCTTATCAGGGTTGAGTCTAAGCCTGTTCACCCCCATCCAGACCCTCACATCTTCCAGGCACCGGCACATCACATCGACTGCTTCACTGAAAGGACACAGGGTGGAGATATATAATTGGGTATCATCCACGTACTGATGATACCTCACCCCGTGTCGCCGAATGATCTCACCCAGTGGTTTCATGTAGATGTTAAAAAGGAGGGGGGGACAGGACCGAGCCCTGAGGCACCCCATGATCGAGGTGCCTAGGGGTCGATCTCTGTCCGCCCGCCAGCACTGACTGCGACCTATCAGAGAGGTAGGAGGAGAACCACCGCAATATGGTGCCGCCCACCCCCACCTCTCCGAGATGATGCAAAAGGATACCATGGTCGATGGTATCGAAAGCCGCTGAGAGGTCAAGAAGCACCAGGACAGAGGAGTGACCCCTATCCCGGGCTCGCCAGAGGTCATCGGTCAGTGCGACCAAAGCAGTCTCAGTGCTGTAGCCGGGCCTGAAACCAGATTGAAAAGGGTCCAGATAATTAGTTTCATCCAAGGATCGCAAGAGTTGGGACGCCACCACCTTCTCTACAACCTTCCCCACAAAGGGGAGGTTGGAGACAGGACGAAAGTTCTTCAAAACAGCTGGGTCCAGGGAAGGCTTCTTGAGGATGGGCCTCACCACCGCTTCCTTTAAAGGTTGCGGGAAAGACCCCTCCATCAAGGAGGCATTGATTATTGCCTGGAGCCAGCCTCGTGTCACCTCCCTACTGGGAGGGGCACAGGTCCAATAAACAGGTGGCGGCATTCATTGCCCTCATGGCCTTGTCCACTTCATCAGGGGTCACAGGCTCAAACTCACTCCAGATAACATGACTAAGACCAGCCCCCGGCAACTGGCTGGCACTGCCCAGTCGGAGTCCAGGTCTCTCTGAATCTGAGCGATTTTGTCCAAGAGAAACTGAACAAACTCCTCAGCTCTCCCCTGCAAGGGTTCCTCCGCCTCCTCCACTTTAAGAAGGGAGCGGGTCACCCTAAACAGGGCAGCTGGGCGAGATTCTGCGGACGCAATAAGTGCGGAAAAGCGAACACGCTTTGCCACCCTTATCACCACTAAATAAGTCCTAAGATAGGCTTTTAATAGTGACCGGTCAGATTCAGAGTTACTGGCCCTCCAACGTCGCTCTAGACATCTCTTGTGGTGCTTCATCTCCCGGAGCTCCTCAGTAAACCAAGGCGCCCTCCGGGGACCACCACCACAGAGAGGTCACAAAGGCGCAATTCGATCCAGGGCCCCGGACGCCGCCTCATTCCAGGCCGCAACCAGGGACCCGGACGAGTTGTGGACAAGGGAGTCAGGTATTTCCCCAAGCTCCTCCTGGAACCGATCTGGGTCCATTAGGCGCCTGGGGCGGAACCACCTAGTCGGCTCCCTCTCCCTGCGATGGGGGAGTGATGCTCTGAAGTCCAGCCTCAATAGGAAATGATCTGTCCATGACAAGGGTGAGATCTCTATTCCCCCTAATTCCAGATCATGTCTCCATTGCCCCGAGAGAAACACAAGGTCAAGTGTGTGACCACCCCTATGAGTCGGATCCTGGATTACCTGGGTCAGGTCCATGGTTGCCATGGAAGCCATGAACTCCTGCGCCGCCTCTGAGCGATCTCCGAGTGATGGTAGGTTAAAGTCCTCCAGTACCATAAGTTTGGGGAACTCCACCGCTAACCTGGTTACTGACTCCAGCAACGCAGGCAGGGCTGTTGCAACGCAGCTGGGAAGTAGGTACATCAGCAGCAAGCCCAACTGAACCCATGAACCCAACTTCAATAGGAGGGACTCACACCCAACAACATCCGGGGCAGGAATCCCACGAGGACTCAAGGACTTCCGAGCGATGACTGCCACTCCCCCACCCCTGCCCTGATGTTGAGGCTGATGGGGCAACCACAATAGTTTCTTTGAAACTTTGAGCGAAGTTCTCTTTTATACAGTGTTTCTCAACTTTAGAAACTTTAAGATATCTAGACTTCAACTCCCAGAATTTTCCAGCCAGTTATGCTGGAAGTTGAAGTCCACACATCTTAAAGTAGCTGAAGTTGAGAAACATTAAGCTAATACATAATAACCCTTCTCTGCAGTGCCTTGTTTCTCTCAATATATTTCTCTAAAGCTAAATTGGCTCTGGGTAATTTTGATTCTCCCTGTTATGGGAAACCCAGATACTCCATTAATATCTTGTCTGAAGCAAGCCATCACATTAAGCCATAATTATTTCAGCACAGCATGTGACCCAAACAACAGATAGGCCCAGAGGATTCAAAGCATTTGTTCCAACAAGGAAAAGGGCATCTCAATGGTATGATCCTGGTCCCATTGTTGGCCCTGCTTACAAATATTGCTGGTGAAGTGGAGTTTGATAATTTGGAGTTGACATTTAGCTTGTTGGGTAAACCAGCTCATTTGTTCCACCATTAATAACTGGCTCTTGCAACACAGAAGACGTAGAAATGTTGCTGGCCTTAAAGTGAGATTTACTGCTACAGCATTTTCAGGTTAGGGGACATAACTTTTCCGGGCCAGCATCAAAAAGGTTTTCACTCTCTTGTTTTCCTATTTTTCGAATGGAACCATTTATCCTTCTTCATCTGACTCAGATATTCTTCTGACTTGGATACATCTTTGAATTATAGATGTGGGTTATCAAAAAAACATCCCTATTGCAAAGAGAGTGGTCGGTGACTTACTATTTCACTCAGGTTTGTTCCACAAGATAACCTCACAAATATGTCCACAAGGTGTGGTTAAAAAAAATCAAGAAGATGTTCACAGACTGCATCCTGATGATACTCCTGTACTCTCAGCTTATGCAGCATGTTGACAATCACACAAGGGACAGATTTTCCCTGTGTGGATTCTAGAAAGTGCCCTTTCAATTCTTTGCAGCCCAAAGATATCTTTCCACAACTTAGAGACCTGGGGATGATCTGAGTGCCGAAATATTATCTCAGTTCATCCAGATAGGACTAGGTTAGAGATGATTCTCTAGGAAAGGCTAAGGTTGTAGGCAAGCAACAGAATGGAGCCACCAGAGAGCAGAGAATGTGAAAATACAGTAGTTCTTTTAATGATGATAATTGTGGCATCCTCATTACTTCCGTTCTGCTGTGTTACGCTTCTAAGTGTAAGAGTAAGAGAGTGTGTAAGAGAGTGTGTTGAGGCTGGGAAAGAGTGGAAGGGTAAATAATCAACTGATTAAAGGTGAGTCAGATGGAACTTAGACCAAGTGGGAAGAAACATAAGAAGAAGTGTTTCAGATCATTCAGAGATTCTGCCTTCATTAAGAAAAATGATGCTGGGATTTTGTTAGTTCTTCAGTTTTCCATTTACCCTTGAATGGCATTAAAGAGACATTTCTGAAGGCTGTATGTTTCTTGCTTCTTGACTGGCTACATGGGGCTTCCACAGGGAAGTGGAGGAGCAAAAGAGACAAGATGGGTCATTCTTTCTGTCCATGTGCCTTTTTATCTTTTTTTTTCAGTGATGTTCATGGATATGACTGAGTAGTTTCTTAGTCCCTTTTTTCTCCCTTTTAAATCTGAATGAATACCTCTCTTGGGGCTGTGTGCCAACAGTGTAATAACAACTTTATAATTATTTTTAACAGTTATATATTACTAATAAATGCTTAATTGAATTAGCTTTCCAGATAAGAAGTGTTTAGTTTCTGTGATATACATATTTTTAATTGGTTAAAATTGCATTGCTTCTGTCTAAAGCTCCTTTTTCCAAATCTAAAATTAGCCTGCTCTCTTTTTTTTTTTTTTTTTTAGGATTGTACTTGTTTCAAAAATTA